CCCAAGGCACAAATCTGACAAGTTCATTTCCCTAATCAAAAGCCATGACTCAACCCCCTTTCCTGAAAGACCAAGCCTTAATCGCTGTTGACCAGCCCACTGTCTGCTCTGCAGCCCCTCACCGCCACCCCTCCAAAGTCTTGCTTCCTTGCTTGCTTCCTTCCTTGGTCCTCTCCCTAGAAGGGAATCACATCGCTTGAATTGGCTGACAAAAGCAGAAAAACATGTACAGGTGTCTATGTCCGCGTTTCTTTATGACATAGTAAATTTATTTATGATGCTTCTCTCACCTGCTGGTAGTTTTCTGTGAGGTCACTCTTAGTGTTTGGATAGAACAATTCTTTGTTGCAGTTTATTAATGACTCTGGCCAACATCCCACTAAATGCAGCAGTCTTCTCTGATACCTGTCCCCTATCCCAGTCATTGTGACAAAGAAATTTACCCACATGTTGTCAAACACACCAGCCACACCCCTTCATTGAAAGGAAGGGAGAGGGAGAGAAAAACTGGATTTGAATCAGAAATGATAAAATGTCATCCCCATAAGGTGCCTTTCCCAACTCCCCTCTACTCTCTAGATAGCCAAGTCTAGTTTTTCCAAGTCTTCTTTTTCTACAAAGCTATCTTAAATTCCATCTATTGTGGGATATCTATTTCTCCTTTGACTCCTCCCTTCCATGTACCATCTCTATATATTCATCATCCATCCATCCATCCACTCATCCATCTAGGTGTCTCTCTTTACAGTAACTATTTATTAAACATGTATTGTGCCTTGGGCACACTTCCCACTTTCTTCTTATATCATGGCTTTTGACATGACTGTCTCACCTAGTCTCACACATTACAGTCCCAGGCAGAATCCCCCATCTGACCAACCTTTGCATCTTCCAGTGCTCGTGCTCACTGCTGAATAATAGTGAAATGAAAGTAACTGCCTGGAGACATAAATTCTGATACACATCCCAAATCTTTTTTCAAAAACCTGAGACTAGGTTTTTTTCTAAACTATGCTTTACCGGGTTTCACAATATTTACATTATTATCTGAAAAAAAATGACCCATAACTCCACCACTTTTCCAAGATATAAAGTAAGATGTGTCAATTCCCTTCTTCAACCAGTCTAATCTTGTTCCAACAGGTAACTACTGCCAGGTTTATTGTCTTCTCTTCTAGACATTGTAAAATATGTTTATGCAAATTCACAGATGGATATGCCTAAATATGCATTTGCTAAATTAACACACATACTAAAGCCTAGATGAAGCATGAATTTGAGAATACTGTCATGAATTCATGTAGTAAATAAATTACAATGTTTAACTTAACTGTGTATAGTTCTTTATAATTACTAAACAGTCTTGAGTACAGTTTTTACTCCCTAACGCTGAGGGAAAGGCCCAGAGAAGTTGGCAGACAGATTCCTAGTCCCACAGTCAGTAAAAACTGGTGTAGAACTTGAACCCAGGTCTTCTGCTTTCTAAGTCATTGTTGTTTCTGTTGCATGATATAATCTCTGAGGGTTATTTGAGAATGTTTCTTTCCATAATGAAATTATTCTTTGTTTGATTTCAGCACTCAATGTAGAATTCCTTTGAAATGCCTAAATATTTTATTGAACTGATAATAAACAAAAGCTAATATTTATCAAGTGCTTACAATGTGCCAGAAACCATACGAAGCACTTAACTTGTACTATCTCACTTAATCCTTCAAGAAACATATCATGTAAGCAGCACTTTCAACACCATTTTCAATGAGTAAACTGAGGTTCTGAATGGGAAATATTCAGCTGGAAAGGATTTTCTGTCTCCAAGGTTTGTACATGTAGCCATGGTACTTTAGCACCTATATACATTCTACTTAAGTGTAATGTTACGTAAATGGCTATTATATAAAACAAAATGTGATATGAGTTTGATGTTCTACTTTGGAGATATTTTCCATATAAAAAGGAGAGATAGTTCTAATGTGTAGAGTAAGATATTTAGATAATGATTGAATAACAGCAAAAGAGAAAAAACAGCAAGCAAGAGAGAAATAAGAGCACACAGAGAATGATTCGGAGAAAGAACTAGGACGAAACTAGCAGAGTCAATGGGAAAAGAGGGACCAGAGCCCCACCCCTTGCTACTCCTGCCATGAATCCCCTGGGACTCTTCAACATAACCCAGGAATCATTTTTCTTGTATCCTTTGGTCCCTTGGTGCTTGCTCTCTTGGGCTAAGAACTCACGAGCCCTCATTTCTCTAGCTAGAGGACAGTTGTGAGTGTGCAGGAGGTACGGAGGGGAAGGAGTTGTCTGTTAACATCTACACAGTTCTGAGACTAGGTGCTGGATGGAGAGAGAGCCCAGGCATGCCACAGCTGGGATGAAAGGACCAAAAAAACTGGCCTTACCTCGTAGACCCCACCTGCCTCTGTGTGGGCTGAGCTGGGGGAGGCCAGGCTGTACAGGGTCTTAGTGGCAGATGTTAGAGCCAGACAACCTACCAGTAAAGAGGCAAGGATGTTGCCACCTCGCTCTTCTTGAGGAAGTCCTCCCAGTAAGACTGGATGTCAGAGAAGCACCATTCTGCCAGCACAATGGAGGGGTAGGACAGCTGTTTGAGACTAACGCAGCAGATAGTAAGGAAGCGAGGGCAGAGATGCCAGAGGGTGATAGGGTGGAAGCATGATCACGATTGTGGCATGGGCGGAAGAAAACTCTTTTGCCCTTGGGTGGTGGCATCATAATAAAGGGTATCTGAGTCACCAGAGAAGGCATGGAATACCTGGGATGGGTTTCTACATCCACCTCCCTCACTTCCTTTCCAGTCATTTGGTTGTTTTCAAATTCCCCACCCTTTGCACCCTCCTCACAAACAAAACCAGTGTGTGTGTGCACGCATGCGTGTGTATGTTTATTTGTGTGTCTGTATGCATAATTGGTTCTTGGTAAAATTGTTAGTTGAAAATATAAGGATTTGCGATTATCTGGCTATTTTTGATCTACAAAAGACTTTAAAAAATACTTCAATGCAATTGGGTAAACTAAAACAAAAATCCAGGCAAGATCCTTTAGACTGAGTTGACAATGGTTTCCGTCTCTGAAATTGGGCATCTCACACCTTTCAGTCAGAGGCTCTATCCTGAGACAGGACCGCAGAGGCTAAGGTCATAGAGCCATTCATTGGCTGCAAGCCAGGTGAAATTTAGGCAAGGACATGTCTCCAGTCCTCCTTGCTGCCCACAGGTCCAATCTTGCAACACTGTGGTCCAGCATCTCTGTACCTTCTCCTCTCTCTAGTCACTAGGTTCAGTTCAGCAGCCTTGCAGGAGGCGACTGACAGGAAGCTTGGCTAACTGAATGAAAGACCTCAGCAGCTAACCTGGAGGTCTTTGGAGGAACTGGAATCTCCCTGTCAGGATGCCAGGGCAGGTTTAGTGGTCTCCCTTTGTCTAGCTGCTGCTCTTGGACCTACCTGCCATTGACCGCTGTCCAAAGGACAAAGTTCAGTGTCTTGAATCATCTCTTCCAAGGCAAGAACATTTGCTGAGTCAGTCATTGTCCAACACAGAACCCTCACAAGTGACTGCCATACACTCAAGGACTAGTTAATAATTTGGGGGGCTCAGTGCAAAATGAAAATGTGGGCTTTTTGTTTAGAAATTGTTAAGGTACAATGGAACAGGAGAGCATTATGCCAAATGCAGACCCTTCTGACCCTGTGCACACTCATGAAGCTGGCTCAGGGGCAGAGGCCGAGACCATCTGTGTGGTCAGGAAGGCCACGAAGTAGGGTCCCCTCCAGAGGGGTCATCCCTTACCACTTGCTGCTTTCTTGGTGGGCACAATGAGGGCCTGGGGAATGAATAAGCAGGGCGAAATCAAGAAAAGAAACTTTAGGAAACAGTCTTTCTGGAGCCTGATGGATTATTCCAAGATAATGCCTAAGGGATTTCACCTAAATAGCTGGGAAATAGTTTCAAGAAAGAGCACCAGGCCAGAGTATGAGTTGGGGTCACAGATAGGCAAAATTCCTGATTCTGGCATCTTTTTCTGTAAATCGAAGTTCTGAACCACACACCCCCCCCATCAGTGTGCCCTTACTGTTCCCTCAAAGCACAAGTGAGGACCCACTTGGCCCCGTCCAAGTCTGGGGAACCAGAATCCAAACAAGACTGCACTTTCTTCAACAGCTCCCTGTCCCCAGCACCTTGGGCCCAAGCAGACAGGCAAAATCACTTCCAAGCAAAAGACCATGCAAAAATCAGGTCACGATTCAAACTTTCTGATAGGAATTGCGCGCCCCCTGCTGGATTCCAAATGGCATTAAATTGAACTGTAGCAAAACACCAAAATCTGAAAATAAAATACACTTTCGTGGGGATTTAACCTTGTATAAAAACCAGTCACAATAATATGACTCCTGGTGGCAGAGTTATGAGTTATAGACGATTTTGGTAATAGGTTGCTGAATTTTTAAATGTTTCATGTCTCCCAGGTTTCCAACAAAATTCTTTCAGCTGTCTCCACCATAGAAACAAGATCATGAATAGGATTGATGCAAGTTCAAGGCCAGCCTGGGCCACATAGTGAGTTCAAGGCCAGCCTGGACTACCTAGTAAGACCGTGTCCCCAAAACAAAAGCAAAAAACAAGGTCAACATGTGGAAGTTCTGAGTGTCCTGATAGGATTTTCTTCCCCTTCCAAAAAGAGGAGGCTGCAGGTTTCATAATGAAGGTAAAATAGTCCAGTGTGGGGCACAAACTTTGTGATCTGACAGCCTAGGATGGAATACCCTGACTGAGTGGTTTGGAATAAATCCTTCCAGATGAAGCAAGTTGACTTGAACTTGGATTGTCATTTATTTTTTTTTTAGCTTTAATTGAGTTTATTGGTACATTTTAGGTATACAGTACAGTTACATTCATCATTGCGATCTTGTACCTTTACATGACAGATCTTGGTTCTCATTTTTTCCCCTTGTTCCCTGCCCTCCCTTCACCCCCTCCTCCCCTCCCCATCTACAACCACTTTATTTCCATCTTTTCATTATCTCACATTCATTTAACTTTAAATCACCATCTCCGGATCAAGAGGACAATGGCACGCCCCCGCCCCCATGAAAGAGCTAGAGAGCATGAAGTGTTTGATTATTCACAGCTGTCCTTACTCTACTATGAAGAGGTGGGACTGGGCTGGGGTTCAAATGACAAGGAACTCCTGTACTGCTTCTAGAGGATATAAATCATATCTGTAGCACTGCGTCTGGCTCAGAATTCAGTTCTGAGTCTTATGGAAGGGTCGCGAGTATTTCAATCCACATGACTATGCTCCAAGGTGCTGGCTTAATTTTCGGTACTGGGGATTGAAATCAGAACCTTGGTTGCTGGCTTTATTAAATACACCTGGAGCGAGCAAGCCTGGAAAATTCTACCTCTAGGAGCTAAAAGCCATCATCTCTCACATGAGCCAATATAACGCTCTTCTAATTTGTTTTTCCACTAAAATCTATCCTCAGGTAACTTCTATTTTAAAAAATTCACCAGCCACTATAACCATGTTTCCAGTTGAAACCCCAAAATCAACTTGTTTTGTTTTGCTTTGTTTTTTGGTACTGGGGATCAAACTTGGGACCTTGCTCTTGTGAGGCAGATGGTGGCACCACTGAGCTAAATCCCCAGACATCAACTCATTTGTTTTGTGATGTACTTCTTCCTAAAAGCTAACCAAAAGACTCAATTTAAAAAAAGAGTATTCCCAGGAAAGAAATATATGTGTGCTGCAAATTACAAATTCTTATACAAATGTTTCACTAGTGACAAATGTTTCATGGTATTTTGGTTATATCTCAAAAGGCTTTGAGGAAATAAGTCATGCCATTAACGGATAAAACCAGGGGCCGAACTTGTTGCTGTCTGGAGTTCGGTTAGCAGGTTTTGGTCCAGGAGCGCAGACTGGGAGGTAAGGCATGGAATCACCAGGCAGACTCTGGGGAGGTTTCTGGCATGCTTCCTTTGGGGCAGCCTCAAACTTCGGATGCCTTAAACTTCTCCCATAGTACTAAGTTCAAGCCTGGCTGGGCCTGGTGCGCCGCGCTCCTGTCTTCTCCAACTACCTAAAGGTTTTGTCCTGTGACACAGAAGGCAGTTGTGTGGAGGTTAACTATCAGATAACTTTTTAAACCATAAATTTAACCAAAGTTTGAAAATAGCTTGGTCAATCTTAGGTATAAATATAGGCATACACATGTGCAGGCCACATCTACTTAAAATACTTCTTAATTTGGGGAATATGAGAAGTCAATAATTCTCTGTGTATTTAGCTTCCCCTCTGCCCTTCCCTCTCATATTTTCAACCCTCTGTGTCATGGGACATAATGTATGTAGTTGGGAAGTATTAAATTTTGACAGCGAAGCAAAATTAGAGTTAAAGGCAAATATTTAATCAAATACAAGAAAGTGAATTAACATATTGTATGTGTAAAGAGCCAAATATTCTGTATTCCCGAGAAACCTGGGTTTCTCATTCTGAATATCTTCACTGTGCACTTTGTTGCTATAAACCAGGTTGGGTGTATATTTTTGAGTGTTGATTTAATTACTGTGAGATTTGAATTAGGAGACTGAAAAAAAATTTCTATCAATATTTTTTGTTTTTGTTGTTGTTTGGGCTATATATCAATATATTTTTGAAAGATCCAGACATAAGAAAGAAGCTCAGTCAGTTTCCGGTGGGAGGGACATTCTCGTGAAGGTACTGTAAGGCCAAGTCTGTCCACTTCATTTCCTGTTCTTTCACAGATTCTGTGGTGCCACCGTTGTCTTGTTCAGGTTCAGGAAGTTCGTTCTGAAAATGTACAATGGACATTTAGAGGATCTGCAATAGCTTCCTTAAAACTAAAGAGTACTTAGGATTAAAACTTGTGAGTTCCTGGAAACAGGTAGCATATCTGATACGTGTATTCAAAAGAAAGAACTAAAATATATAGATGTGAGGAAAACAACACAAAGATTACTCAGAAGTGGCCTGGCCCAGAGGATAATGGGCACCGTGAGTCATGCGTTTATGCAGGAGACAGTGTGGCAGAGGAGCTAAGGGCAGAAGCTTCTGGGAGCCAACCCATGACCCTACCACTTGCCAGGTTAACTGTGCAACATATTCAAACCCTTGGGACCTGTTTCCTTTAGGGAAAAGTGGGATAAAAAAGTAGCTATCACCTTCTAGGACTTCTGAAAGGATTAAATGAAGTTGCTCAAAGGAGCATTTGATTATTAATAAGTTACCAGAGGACACAGAGAGCCAATACTAAATCTTTTTTCTGGGGGAGGGTGTTGTCAAAGAATATTGGATTTGCTGGCAAATGCCTTAAACAGAGGAAATATATCAAAAATTATGCTGAACCAAACATGCCTATGTTATATGAAGGTAGATGTGGTGAGGTATACAGAAAATGTGACATTGATGAGATCTCCCCGAGTAGTAAAGGAGAGCAACACATCACACAGCAAACACCAATTCATATCCTACCAGACATTTTCTTAAAAATGGTAAGCCATGGGCTACACTCAGGGTACATTCTGGGCTCACATCCTTATACTTTATACCCTGAATGTCTCCCAAAGCCTTTCTAAAATCTGGGCCTGTACACATCCCTTCTGCTGATGTACCCTCACCTACCCCAACTGAACTCTGGTCCTTCCGTATAACTTGGCTTAAACACTGTATCCTTTCTGAAGCTTTTCTGCTGCCTGCTAGGCAATCGACCACTCTTTATAGACTCTGCAGCTATGCATGCCCCACTGAAAACCTGTATCACTATCATTTATTTCTACACATTGCCTCCTTAGACACCGATACTCTTATGGCACACAGTAGGCTTCACAGAAATGAATAAGCAAAGGTTTGTAAAACAGATTTGGAGCTTCACAGACCAGGGTATGAAATCTAACTTATCAGTTCCCATACTTTGGGCAAGTATCTATCTCCAATCCTACTCTTTTCCAGCAAAATGTAGATAATAGTATTCTCCTTGCAGGGCTGTTTTAAGGATTAGAGATAATGTAAGTTTTCAATGTGAGTCAAGAGAATAAAACTGATACTCAGTAAATGACAGCTATAATTTTTATTATGTTGCTCTTTTGACTATTTTCCCAAATTTGAACTAAGCTGTGACTTGTTATTTTGATATATATTGTATAGTATTCATGGAACATATTACTCCCTTTTGTTCTTAAATGTAGGTGAGCTGATTATTTTCTTTGTTAATTAGGAGCAGCAGACAATATGCCTGTAATATGACTTCCTGTGAACCTAGGATAGGTGTGTATTCCAAGCACGTGAGTCTCTAAAAATAGCAACATCTGGGCATGGTGGTACGTGCATGCCTGTCATCTTAGTACTTGAGAAGCTGAAGCAGGAGGATTGCTGACAGTTTGAGGTCAGCCTGAACTACAGAGTGAGACCACGACTCAAAATAAAAAAAACAAAAAAGCCTGAAAAACAATAGTAAGTTAACAGACAAGCCACAAGAAGGGAAGCAGGGAACATATGCTGCTGCTTCCTGTTCCTCCCCATCTCATGCACTAGACTCTTATTTGGTTTACACCTAGCTTCGGTGCGGTGGACAGAACATAGAACTCAGGTACTACCCCTAACTGAACCATATTTCTCTCCAAATAAAAAGGTAGGCTAGATGCCCTCCAAAGGCTGCTAGCATATGTCACAGCTTTTGATGTCTTATTAATTCTTATGGTACTGGGATTTAATCCAGGGCCTTGGCACTGAGCTACATACAACCCCATGCTCTTATTTTGAGACAGTCTTGCTAAGTCACCAAGATGCCCAGGCTGATCTCAAACTTGCAGTCCTTCTGCTTCAGATTCCCAAAGTGCTGGAATTACAGGTGGTATGCAGGTATAAACCACGTGATTTCTTTGCCATACTAGGTATTTTCCATCGAAATCTCACTTCTGCTAGCTGACACATCCTGAGCTCAACTCACACCTTACCAGTGGTATCGCAACATCCTCATAAGGCAGCTTGTCTTCTCGCCAAGCATCGTCAATCAAATCCAAGATCCTTCCATCTCGCTGTACCTCACTGTCCATTTTCCTGTAGCTGTGATCTTGTCAGATCTGGAAGCCAAAGAAGTTATTTCTTCAACAGGAAGACTAAGGATATCCAGTACTAGGATCCCTTAGACATTTTAGCTTGGGCTGCTTTTTGGTGTCTCACCATGTGAAAGGCTCTTCTGTACTGGTCTGATAACTTATTTATAAGACCACAGTTCTTTCCCTGCCTCAGCTGACAGATGCTTTATGGTATGTAACAAACAGATATAGTCCAGATCAGTGTCCCAGAGTATGATGAAGGTAACACATTTCTAAATAAAGTCCTCAAATATATTACCTTTCCTAACTTGCATTCATCTTTCCTTCTTTACAATGCCTGTGATAAGTCCCTGATTCATAAATAGCTGCTATATCTTCTCTTCAGTTACTCTAGAACTTCTCATAATGTTTCTCATAAGTCTCCATTTGCGTTCTCAAATCTCAGCATTCTTAGGCAAAGGAGCTAAATTAATAAACTAGGATAACCTTGAGCTAGGCTATGCAAAGTGACCAACCACAGGTTGACACAAATCCTCAAGCCAAGAACAATATGGGCAGATCAGCCTAAGGAAAATACTTCTTTCCTTAAAAAGCATGTAAGCTAAACTCAGAGAATCTCCAGGTGAACAACAGTAACAGAATCCCAAGTTGTTCCAGTTTCTGCTTTCCTTTGGGGTTCCTTTCCTTACTCTTAATATTGTATTCCCTGCAGTGCCTGGTGCAAGTGATCACAATGCTTACTCAGGCCCTTGACTGTAGCTGATTCTTCATTTTTCTCAACAGTTGCAACTTCTCAGCTTGGAGAATATTTCTGGGTTTCTTGTTTCTAAATTTGGGTCCTGCTTCCTCATCTTAGACATCACCTTAAAGTAGCAATTCTAAGGCCTGGAAGCTCTTGGTACCAATGGCACTCACTCACTCCTAGTTTCTGAGACTGTGGAGATTCATGCCAAAAAATAATCTTTGAAGGTAGAATCCAAATCTGTCATACAGGTCTGTGCTGGAATCCAATGGTGTAGTTGCAAGGTAGCCAGCCCTAACAGCTAGGTAATAACTGTACACAGGTTTGGCAGGGGGAAATACCTGTGATAAGGATTCAGGCAAAAATGGAGTAAAAAGCGCCAAGCTGCCGCCAGTGAACCAGGTGCAGTCTTAATGTTGTGTTTAGAATTTAGTAGTACTACTCACAACAAGCTGAAGGAACTGGTCTGCAGGGATTTACACACAAGTAGTCCTTATCTTACCCAGTTTGCTATACTTCTGTCTTTTATAAAAGCTCTCCTTTATCCTGTGCGAATCCTTTGTCCTTGCTGTTCTGTCCCCTGGATACCCTTCACACTTTGCTGTGCTCATCTTTCTAGGCTCACAAAGGCCTTGCCCTTTTTTAAGTTTTCTCAAATGGCTCCGCTCCAGCTTCAGCAGACTTTCTGTCTTAAATGCCTGCTTTTTGTCCTAATCGAACCCATCATACAAATTAGATCAGCTTTGTGAGGCAGTATTACTGTCTCCAATTGCTATGTGTAAATTTTGCAATGATTCCCTAACAGACTTTTCCAATCTTTTGCACACTATCTTTTCCCACCTGTTTTTCAAACACCTCCAACACTGCAATCTCTGCACTTAAAAGCCTTTCTTCCTCATCACTAAAATCGCTTTACTAATACAACACAGGTGTCAGCTCTTAGGGGGCAACATTCCATTTTCAGGGTCAGGCGCTTTGCCTTTAAGGGGATGAAATAGCGGGAAGCATCAAGACTGGCAATGCCCAGATCACAGCCACTTTTCCAAGCACCCGCCACACAGCTGAGCAGTCCCACTTTCCTAAACCTTTTCCTTCCACAGGGGATAATCTTAAAGCGTGGCATGTTATTTTTTCTTCCGAATTTTTCTGGGTAACTCACATTAGTTCCCAAGTCGCCTCCTTTGGGAGGCACCATTTTAAACCCCAGACTGAACACGCGATGCTACAATCCACTTCGCTGGCTCCACAGACCCCTGAGCGCAGTGCATAGTACTAACTAGGGAGCTTGTCATACAGACATGTCTTTCTAGACAAGCTATGCGTGCGTGCCCGAGAAAGCGGCACGTTTTACTCATCTATTTTACAGCCTTTAAACATGTATTTCTATGATCGCAGAACGGAAGCTTTTTCTGTCTCTAGAACTGACCCTTGCAGGGCACCATAGTCCGAACCAGTACGTGGGACCGCTCACAACCACTGCTTCCGCTTCCGGCCCGAACCTGGATATACCAAGTGTTGCGTAGCGGGGGTGGTCTAGCATTTCCACGCATGTTCCTTTCCACACGACACTGCGTGCAATAAAGAAAATGATTATGAAGGTGAGCTGACGGCCTCGGCCGCCAGGACTAAAGAAGGCCCAACACCGGGGGACGAAAGCGCCCCACCCCTCCTAGACCTAGGAGAGAATCAAGAAAAACCCTTACCCTCACCCAGTTCACCCGATGTGCTAACTCCAGACCACACCGCGGCATCACCTGACCCGCCCCTATTTCTCAGATTCCCCGGATATGGATGAGCCCACTTGCTTGTGCGGAGGGGAGGTTTGCAGAAATTGTTTCCAATAAGAGTGCGGAGGCAGTAGGGCCGGACGTGCCGACGCCGGGGGCTGGACTTAAGGTTGGCGGCGACGCGCGTGCGCGCCCCGGC